ATCATGATATTAACGAGAAGCGGCGTTGCGAGAGGGGTGTGGCGGGGTGTACTATGCTAATAATATCTTCTGCTTGGTGAAACTGTAACTTTCACGATGGCAATTGCATATTAATAGACAGTTAATAATTTCCTCTGTAACTAATTACATGCGTTTAGCACGGTACGTCCATAAATTACGATTAGATTCTACGGTTTTATATTTACTTCTCTCTTATTCTAAAATGTTTTACTCGAAAATTACAAAGAAGTACTTTTTTACTTATTATAAAATTTATTACAATATCCGGACGTGTGAACAGGACATTTTTAATAAACTGTTATTTTTTATTTTAAGAATCTTATATTAATTGTAAATGTCAACGTCACTAAAACAGTAAATTTGATTAACTAAATTTTCTTTTATCAACATTATAAGTGGGATCACATAATCTGGGAAGGGCAACGAATCGCTAACTCAGAATTAATTAACTCGGGCCGTCGGTGCACCTCAATCTTTGTGTATAGCTCGACAGGGATGAAAGAGCGGGACGAAGTGCTAGGGGAAGAAAAAGCCACAGACTTACTTCAACGGCTTTCAAAGCTCAATGTTTGACTATAAAGCGCATTTATAGTCGCATACTTTTTCACTATCACCGAAATAATGGTCTCATAATTTTAAACTAAAGATACGCAATCGATAAGCCGCAGGAACGCGTATAAAAGAGAGAACATAATTCCACGGTGAGTAACAGGATAGCGCTGCGCATAGACTAAAGTTCGGGCGCTAATGAGCACCGCGATTAAGCAAATTTATTCCGTTTGTATCCGGCGGAGGGATATATATATATATATATCGTTTTTGCTTAAAAGCGTCGACCATATGAAACCGCTGCGGCCGTGCGGTTTGCGTCGCGATCGGAATCGAAATACGGTATCCATTAATTATGTACAAATTAATAATAATATGTACATTGTCACGTCATTAGGTGCTACGCATTGTATATTTAATTATGCCACTATTGTACATTTGCCCTTCATAGTGTCAACTTCGCTCATATTCATCCGGGGGAGGCGTGCGATGAACGTATTGACGTGAATATTATTCGGGTAATCGCAATGTTGTACGCGTGACACATACGCGATCTAAATTTAATTTCTAGCTCAAATACTTGGACTCTTGAAATAATTATCATAAATTTTCACGCGGACACTTTGCGCGTCCCTTCGTCCCTGCCCTTATGCGCATAACGTTATTAAAGTACGAAGTTGGTATGAACAACGAAAATTACGTCCTTTTTTTTTCTCGCGAGACGAGAATCGACTATCGATTATCTGATGTAGCGGATGAATTTCTATTTAATCATCATGGGAAACGAACGTCATTGGTGGGGCAACGGCGGATGGGAGCGCGTTGAGGATAACGGAAGTTACAGAAGGGGATAGTGCGATAATAAATATGCCCAGCGCCGGCAGCCATAAATCCCGCGTAATTGAATTTTCAACATCCATAACTGGCCGTCGCTCGGCGCGACCTCAGGAAATAGAACGGAACGGGACGTATCTTGAACGGGGGAGTTAGATGATTCCATTCCGCTTTCGAAAGACGCGATCCTCTTGCTCCTTTCTCCCTTTGCTCTCTTATTCTTCACCGCGATAGACAGAACGGCAATCGATTCCATGACGCTCGTAGTCGGAGACTATTTTTAATTCGCCCTCCAGATCGAGCCGCGGTGCAACGCGACGGCCACCCCCGCTCTTTCTTCTCCCTCGCTCTTTCCTCCCCCTCGCTGTTTCCTCTCCCTTTCTCGGCTCTCGACGGGCGACAAGTTCCTTTGATGCGAACATCTAATCAAGGATTTCCTCGACTCTTGAGTCTTCGTCGACGACCGAACTCTATAGCTATAACGTTCTTCCTCGCCCCCAACTCCTTCCCTTTCCCTTCTGACTGGCTCCACCTTTTTCCTACCAGTCTTCTCATTCTTCTCCGCGCTCGTCGGCGCCGTCGTTGTCGTCGTTGTCGTCGTGTAGACTTGGCGCGGAAAACTTTGATTGTACGTAAGTCGAAAGCATCGGGAATGAAAAAGGAATGCCTGGAAAATCGTGGGGTGGTTGCCGCCTTGTCGCACGATGGAATTTCAGCTGATTGGAAATCCTATCATTCAATAGCCCGCATATATATTTCCCGGTAGACTACACCGGCCGATTGGCGTGACGATGGCAAAAAGCCGCGGAGAATAAGAGCAGTGCGGAGAAGAATAGAAATCGCGTTTTGTGTGTTCGCCAAGATCCGGAACTTTTCCCTTAACTGCGTCAGCTGATGCTCCAGCGGTTTTTCCCGATAGTGAACTCCGCTCTCCGCGCGAATAAACTTACCTCACATTTTCAGCATTTTGTAACGTTGACGCGTTGCGCGATTTATTTCCCTCGTAATGGAAACGAAGCAGTTTAGCGGTCCTTCGAGGATCCTCAGAAGAAGAATCAACCGCGCCGCCACACGTTGGTTGGTTGGTAACGCGTTATCTACTGCCGCGATAACAGCCGGAGATCCGGGGGATGCCATGACATCAGAGATTATGATAAACCCCCTTGGTGGCGAGAGAAACAAATAACGTACTAACTGCATATTAACCAAACTACCTGTCTGTGAAGTCCGCCTACTACCCGACGATTCGCGCCGCGCAGTTCACGATTCACTGCCGTTTCATGGACCGGACTAAACTTTCTCGATCGACGGTGAACGCGTCGGGCACGTAATCACCTTGTCTTCCCTGATGGATTAGGATACCCGGCGATGGAAACAATTATCGACAACGCACCGATTGACCGGGATTAAACCGAAATCGTCCTACGTCCAATTAGCACCTTTTTGCGTCAACCCGATCCGCGACGGAATCGCCCTAATTATTTCGTCGCGAAACGTCGTACGGGGAAATTGGACGGAAAATTCGTCGGGATTTCGCAAAAGGCGATGGATGGAAAGATGACGTATCGCGAAAAGTCAGTATTATCCCGCTCTGATCTTCCGAGAGAAATTATGCTCGCAGTCAAAGTCTTGGAACTAGTGCAGCGCGCGGCGCGCTCTTTGGCGAATAAAAATATTACTCTGGCACAATGTTCTTCTCGAAAAAGAACACGATTCTTTCTAGGCTTCGTCCGTCAGATTTCAAAGTTCCTCGCTGCGCTTCGGTAGTTGTATATATTTCACGAGACCGAGTACGCTCCGCGTATTCATGGAGCAATGTTTCTTGCTCGCAAGAAAGTTAGACAGTAAGTTAGCACGCTGTCGCGCGTTATTCATTACCTTTGTTCCTTCTGCGATCGTCTCGCGGACAATCGCAGAAGAAAAAATACGTCGTGCGGTATCCAAGATCAACTGAGCTTACTCGCCGGTCTTACGGTATTCTTAAAGTTCGTTGTTTAGACGACCAACTTTTTGTGATGATTTTTAACGATGTGCCTCGTGATTAATGTTGACAGCTTCCGGACCGCTGGCAGTTTTAAATAAACTTCTAACAATTTCCTATGACAAAAAATTGATTGATGTATTTTAGCGAAACATGAATTTTTTTTTAAATATAGATCACCATATTATGTCTGATAATACAACATCAGTTAACGATTGATTATTAGCGCTTATTAAATATGTCGAAATATCTCGAAAGTAACCTAAAGTATACGGGATAACAGATACGGCACAACTGGATTTTCGCGAAATATATTCCCGGAATATGTTTCGTGACACATGTGGAGCGCTATCGAGATTTTCTGCGGACGCTACTCATATAGCGTATCGTTCTCTCTCAGAGGAAGGAAACGTGCGGGGATACGTTGAGGGGATCGAGATAACGAGAGAGTAAGGAGATCCTCTCAGTTTTTCCGTAACAAGCACGCCCAAAGGCTGCCTCGTAAAAAAGGATGTATCTCGTCAGTGATATTAGCGCATAAAAGAAAGAGCACATTATGCGCGAATCTTTACACCCCCCCGGCGAGTATAAAACTTTCGTCCGGAACGGCGTTCGAATTATCGTCTACGCGAGAAGGCCACAAGCCTTTTTATGTTCGGTATCAGCTACTAAGCTTATCATAGAGAACTAATTCGATTACGAAATAAAAGTTGGACGATCAACAATTACCAGAAGTCTCAGTCTCCTCACGGACGAAGCAATTTCTCAGCCGGAGTTGATTTGTAGGACAATATTTTTCCCACACTAAAAGATAACACATAAACGTGAACGTGCCGTGGTATTTCCTTGGAGTTGTCTTCGAGCTGCGCTCGCCTTTTTTTCCTTCGCTCTACCTTTCTCCCGTCCTCACTCTCCTCATCGACTTTCTTTTCTATCCGGGCTTCCTCCGCGCTTCGGGTGGCACGTGACCTCGTTCCGAGATAAGACAATGTTTCTCCACTCTCGGTGGACAGAAAGAGATCTCTATCTACTCTATTCACCCGATGGATAAGTCATTCTTCACCCGCGATGGATAGAAAATCTACACTATCTCAAACGACTGATTCTTGACTTGATCTTTAAACTATGGCAGAGAAGCTATTTGTTCAATTTTTTTATACACAACTTTTGAGTCCAATTTATGAAAAATATTAAATAAATTAAAATATGTTATTTAGTTCTAAATAATTATCTTGATTCACAAAATGTGAAAATAATAGGTTTTTATGTTTAACGATATCTAAAAATCAATAACGTATAATTTTGTATTCTAGAAACACCATATTGATTTTAATAAATTTTGCAATTATTGCTTTTAATTGCAGCTATTTTTTACTATTAATAAAAGCGAGACAAGTAAACAATTAGTCACAAAATGTTTTGAAATTTTTAATCCAAGATCAATACGAAACAGACTAGCCAAGAGGGATGGCAGCACAAAGCAGGCCACCATACTCTGCCATCTCTCATAAACTACAGAAAGCATGATGTAGTGGCAAGTAATTAAATAGAAATTTTAATTGTGTCGAGATTATTTATTATTCAGAAAGGATTGAAAGGGAAATGAAAAAAATACTTTTATATTTGCTCTGGATATTTATACTAATAGCTTTACATACATTAACTAAATAAATCTTTTCTTATTACAAGTCTCTTTAGAATGGAGAATGGAGTTTTATCCGATTATATTTTTAATAAGATATTTAAAAAAGAAAAATATATCTAGGCGACCGGTCAAAGTTGCATTTCTGATAAAAAAGCAATATGATCGATCGATATCCTCTCGACAACTGTCATCGATGGCGTTGATCATCAAAGAAATTACGATTCTTCCTCAGTCACTTTCTCCGTCTGCGCCGATACAGTGTCTTCAACTACTGGTTCTCGAATTCCCATCCATTTGCAGCGTTTTTCCAGTTCTTGTCGATACCTGTGCATATCCGAGTGCAAGTTTCAAAATTGAATTAAAATAATCTTTTCGTAATTATTCATTCGAAAAGTTATTTCGTAATTATTTATATCGAAATTCTGTGTTGATTATATTGATCAAACTTGTAATAATGCACACTATATTTTATATGAAATGTTATAAAAATATAAAGAATGCCGAAGATATAGGTATGTTACCTAGGATGATTAATTGCATATATCCATGGATCGATACACGACACTATTTTGGCGAATATAGCTGGCAACATCGTTGATAGCGGAGTAAGCGTTTCGCTAAAACATACATAAGAATGATTATTAAACAAAGACTCCTTGAATATTAAAGAATATTTTTGAAAATTAAGCGCATTACCGATTTCCATAAGCTCCGATTAAAGCGACGGCCGCATACGGTGTCCATGCGAGCACGAAGAGGAAGAAAATCGTAAATGCGGCTTTCGCGATTCTCATTTCGACGTTCCTGTCTTTATCTTGATTCGACACGAGCGATTTAACGTTCATCTTTTTCGCCTACACACACAAAATAGATACCTCAAATATATCACAATATCAAACTTAGAATCATCTATTGAATCATGAAAATTCCGCTTACTTGATCGCGAAGCATTTTTTGGTGAGAGAGAATAGATTTCAACAATTGTGAATAAAAATATATAATGAGTAACATAGGAAGGACATACGCCCAGAAAAATATCATTATTACGAATGCCTTCGTGTCCTCGTCGTCCGTGAGATAATCAAAGCTACATGTGGTAAGAAAACCCTCTGAAAAATTATATAACTTTCATTAAACTGCGTAACAAAAAATAGATAATTCCATTTTAAAAAATGACGACCATAAAAAAATCTCGATAGTAGCGACATCTGCAAATAAATCAATATCGCAGTCATGTGGCCTCCTCGAAACCTTACAACTTTTATATGAAACATTTTTCTTTAAAATGCATTATTCAAGGGATATTAAAATGCATTATTTAATATAGGACCTTGCACATATATCTATAATGAAAAATAAGAAAAAACCTATAATAAATTGTAATATAAAGAAAAAATTATTAATAAAAAATATTAAGATCTATGTAAGAAAATATAAGAAACATAATGAAATGATATAATTATAATATTATAACTTATTTATATATTTATGAATATATATTATATCTATAATTGATTACAACTGTATTACTGAAACTCTAAATAATTATTCTTTTATTCTTTGAATAGTTGTTTCATATTTACAATCGTTTTTCTCACCTTTCTTAAATTTTCTCTTTCTATTTATTCTTATTGCTTATATTTCTTGATATTGCTATTTTATTTATTTATTAATTAATTTTTTTATATTCCTTTACGGACGCTATTTATCTTTTTAAATTAAGAAGAAGCAAAAATTATATTATATTGTTACATTATTAACCCTTTATTACAATACAATTGTCAAAATGATCTTCGCGATGACAGCCGTTCACGAAGTAAGCGCGATGAAAGAATCAATTAGCATCACAGAAAAACGACAACAATAACTTTAATACATTCAAATATCAACTTAACATACTTTTTTTAGAAGTGAGTTTGAAAAAATAGAGCTTAATTCTTAAAATTCTTCTATTACTTTCTTAGCGATAAAAGAGATGGAAGGAACCTGTTTACCTGCTACATATCGACCCCATAGTCCCGTCATAGGCAATATCGAAAATGGTAATGCCCAAAACCATGTAAACAGAGCTAACACCATTGCTTGCTTTCCATTCAATCTACCATCAATTGGACAACTAATTGTTCTGTAACGTTCAAGCATAATAGTATAGTTATGTTCCTATTAATAATTAAATTCCGAGAGACATTTACCACATCGTAAAATCTTTTGCTTTATTTTCCTAAATTCATTATCAATATTATCAATATCGTTTAAAACAAATTATTTAATTTCAACAAACTTGTAAATATTCTTATGATTGACTAGTAATAGTTAGTAAAAATTATTCGGTATTTATGAAAAATGGAAATTATCAAGATAAATTACGCCAACCTGTATCGATCGAAAGCGATTGCTGCGTTGGTGATCGCCTGTCCCATTCCGGAAATCGCGCCGAGCAAAGCATACACATCACATCCAGTCTCCCAACCAATCGTTCGTTCCAGGAAGCTGTTTATGATGAGCATAGGCATCTCTGTTGCCATCAGTAAGTCGAATACGGCCAAATTCAAGATAAATATGTTTGATGGTGTCCTTAGTGATTTTGATCTAAATATTAATATATTAAAATAAACATTCACATGTTATTAAACATATTAATTGATTTTAAGAAACGCTATTTTTAGAAAATAAAAGTGAAATAAACTATTATTTCTCATCATAATATGCAGACAGTACTGAAGCAATTCAGTCTAGGGTATGAAGATGGCGGCAGCAACTTCATTTTTGTAGGAATAACTTCGTTTTCATTTGGATTTAGCAAAATCCATGGACAAATCTATCATAATTATATTACATATCTATCTATTTATAATTATATGTATCTTTTACTAAAGAAATTATGCAATAAGCAGTTAACAAAAATAAAATATAAGAAAATAGAAAAAAGACTGAAATATTTAATGTGGATGGAGAAGAATACTATAAGATAAAGTCCATTATTTTATTTTATTTCTCACCTTTGAAGATACTTTAGAAGCACTTGTAATATCAATAATAAATGGATAAAAATAGTTAATGCAAAGAAAACAAGAAACTTGGGGAAACCTTGGAGATAATTCTATTTTTATATCATCATTAATAAAATATAATACAGTTACGTAAGTATATATGTAACTATGAAAATTAGAATTTTAGAAAAATATATTATACAGTTATAAACTAAATTTTTTTTAGATTATATTACTAACAATTCTTCTGTTTTTTAACATTTAATTAAATTCCTTTTGATATTAATCTTCAAATTCTTTTGTGAAATTCTCTTAAATGGCGGACTTACGTGCTAAAAATCCAAATAACGATGCCGTTCCCGAGGAGAGATAGCATCAGAAGCAAGAGGTAAATGAGCGCGAGAGCGACGTGCCATAGTCTTCCGGGTGCGAGGAATGCACGCCAATGCGGATGCACAAGATCCGCGTGCTCGGCGGGGAAGTTCCATCCTAGAAAACGTTCTTGCAGCGGCTGTACATCTCTGTTATTTAAAAATACACCGGCTAATCAATATTTGATTATACGGAGTTATTGAAACTTGCGAAGCTCTCCGACCGCGACGAATAAAGCTTCTATAAATTAAATAACGGAAGCTTATATTGTTCATTCAAATCCGACGGATTTGATTCTCTCAGAATTTTAATCCGATGTTTAATTATCGTGATGGTTAATGTTGAATACTGAAATAATATCTCGCAAAATTTTTTATAAGATAAAACTGATTTTGAATTTAAGCGAAGAAAAATCTATCATGATAATTAACGAGGAATGCTAGATTACTCGGAAGATCGCTTCGAGATATAATAAACGTGATTACTTATTATGCAAGAGTCGTTGGTGCGCAAAATTGTTATTTTTTTTCTAATGTTTGATTAAAGCGCGATAAAGCAAAATCCTGGATCGCTATCTGCAGAGATTAAACGGGCAGCCAAGAATTTCCATAAGACCTATGAAGGTAATTTCTGTCGCTTCCTTCGTGACCGGCATTATTACTCCGTCACGACATCGCAAATGTAAAGGTTGTAGGACAAATAGCTTTCGCGTCGACGATAAGAATTGCGACTTTCCCGAGCAAGACGACCCGCAAATTCGTTACATCGATCGCAGTGCGACTCAGCGTGGAGATGATCCATTTACGAGCAGCAAATTCGTCCATATTCGATGATAAAATCGCCATTGATCGAAGGGGCATAACGTCATGGGGGAAGTTTCAACGCGTTATCGAACACGAGCAAACTCGAACAATATATATTAATTCTGTATAACCGAGACTTATACGGCCGAATAATATCGAAATCTCATCCGCGTATAGCCGACGTTATACATTATTATCGATAGCATTGTTATCTTCGTTGTTGCACCACCGCCGCTGGCGGCTATTTGGGAAAAAAAAAGGATTCTCATTCATCGCGCGGAAAATGACGCGCTTTCACGTGCGGCCAACATTAATGACGATGAAATCCATGCAGCATACGCATTGCCGATGGATTAAATCCGGCCGGTGCGCTAATTGGGATGTCGAGTGATTATTAGTCCTCTCGGCTTATCGAAAGATCGAAGTAGCAGCGCAATGTTGTAATGCGCGCACAATTTGATAGCCTGTCTATTCCCCGGCGGTAAGAGCTCCGTAAGCCCTCTCTTATCGTATCGCGATCTTAGTCGGGAACGAAACGTGTCTACGTTGCGCGTACGTTGTGTACATGCGCTTGCACGGAGAGAACTTTCATCCCTCTCGCTCGCTCGCAGTTTGACGCTCGTATTACCCTCCTTCGCGCCGCGAATATTACCAGCGGCGCTTCGCAGCCGCCACACAATGTCGGATGATTATGAGGGGAACGATACGGTAATCGCGTACGGTACGGTGCCGCACCTACCCGACTCTGCTGGCGAAAGTCAACGGCCCGGCCACGATACCACTAGCGTTGTGCATCAACATCCTTCGACGTCGAGTCGCGGGCTGACAAGTGCGCGCGGTCGATGCACGCGTTGGATGCAACCACCGCCCCCTCCGCTGGAATCCGTTTGGCTGGTTCCCTGAATACAAATGACGAAACACTACTGATAGGAGACGTAGGACGGATTTTTCTCCTTTCTCTCTCTCCTGACCGACTTGACGACGGTGCTGGGCTTGACGACGGCGAATCTCCGGGCGAGATGTACGCTTAAAGCCGCACGTAACAGTCGTGAGAGGGTTCCTAGATTGAAGTGAGACGCGGCGCGAAAGAGTGGGTGGGCACACGTTCCGCAACTCACTTGTCCGGCCGCGCCGTTATCGCGTCCTTTTATACGTCCACGACATTTCGGATCGAGGATAGCGTGCCGGCTGAGAGCTTAATTCGATTTGCGATTTACGAAATGCGAGAAACCTTTCGCTCGGGCCCGAAGCTCGTCCGTCACGCGAGCCTCGCGACTGATTCTCGCGCAGTACGATCTCCCTCTTTCTTTTTCCCTCGCGTAAGTCGCTTCTCTCCTAATGTATGTCGTAATCTTCATTCAAGGTAATCGCGCTTGTTCGATTCGTGCGACGTTAGCGCACGAATTGGTATCGCGGGCACGCGACGATAATCTAAACTTAACGTACTTATTAGCATTACACATTACTGCGATTAAGAGATAAATTAATTCTCATGCAAGAGAGAAGTCTCCTTGCAGAGTTAAGTCGACTTATTAATAAATCAGCGTACCTCACATCCCTTTCAACGATATATCATCAGCTGCAAATATCCGTCTCCGGCAGAACGGCGGAAGGTGTTAAATGGCGAATGGTAGTTAAAAAAGGGAGATCGATTTCCAATGTAATAAAATGCAATTTACAGAAACGTCCCGCGGCCTATCCCGCGAGTTAATTAAATTTCCAATGTAGATACTAATCGATGTTTTATTACGCCTTATCGCGATATAGCCGGCGGGACCGATGCGGCCGCGGCCGCAGAACGCAATGCGGCCGATGGGGGGGAGAATTCGAGAATTCGAGTACGAATGCGTTTCCCGTTACACCGCGAGCTCGCAGTCGGCCGCAGTCGGCCGCTTTTTCACCCCCGCGGTTACTATACAAGCGGGAAATTCATCTCGAGGAGTGCATACCCGATATACACTCGTGCAAGCGACGGCTCCGCGTTTTCACCGCTGTTCTCGTTCGCCCGTTTGTGACCGCAGCCTTCACGCATCCACCGGATTAAATCATAAAATTGTCCCGGAACGGTTGCGAAATTCCGCTGATTTACGAGCGGGTAGCACGACTCTCGTCACTACTCTCTTCTCGCGCGAATAATACTCGCAGCCGTTATCCACCTACTCGCTAGCAGTCACCGATGACTTCGCTCCGTTTGTTCCGCGAGATGAATCGTCCGCTTTTTATCGGTTATCTCGATAAGGACGATTCGAACGGAAGGAAGGATTCCGCCGTTGAAAACTTATGAGAGATAAGCGAGGAGGTAGAATACAATCGAAATCTCTTTCTTCTTCTTCTCTCTCTCTCTCTCTCTCTCTCTCTCTCTCTCTCTTTCTCTCTCTCTCTCTCTCTTCTTTTTTTCTTTTTCTTTGAGAGTTATCGAACAATATATAAAAGAAAAATCGCATTCTTACTTTTTGTATGCCAATTATATTAATTTACTTCCAAGAAAAGTCATTTCTAAATTAGTTACTTTTCTTTCAATTTCTTTAAGTTCCAGTGATAAAGATGACGTTTGCGCAAGAAAAACAGACGCGCATTCTTTATTCGTCGTGCGACCCAGAGTAAAACCCAGAGAATTTGAAGTATCGCTCGACAACGCGCAAAGAGAGCGAGCGCAGCAACGCTTTTTCATGATTCACCGGCTATATTTACGAGCAACGTTCGCCCATGTAATTCGCGCAACTTATAAAGCACCGCCACCATTGTCCGTGATGGAAATTCAGCGGAAAGATTGGATGACAAACAATGGGCCTAGCCCGGCCAGATTATGACAACAATGAGCGCGACCAACGACGCAACGACGACGGTCCGTGCTGCAGTTTGCGCTTCTATCTCGCCTTTCATATATGTGTGTACGTGTGTGTTATATTCCTCGCACTTTCATGCATACTTTCGCGATTTGTCATTTCCCAATTTCAGATGTCCGTCGCTGATACATCTTTCGTCAATTGCGCGTCGTAATTAAAATAAGAGTATATCGAACGTCGTCGTAAAGCCGCAGATAACATCAATTTCAAATATTATTTACTAACTTGGTGAAACATTACCACACCCGCCGCGATATCTCTTGCTTACATCTACCATTTTGCTGCCTCGGTCGACGCCTTCCTCTTTTTCGTATATTCCGACCAATATCCGATTGCCGGCCGATACAAATAGAGATCGATCATGGCTCTGGTTGCGAGCCAACGACGTGTGCCAATAGAACCACTTGATTGGACAAAACTGTAACCCGTCTTTTTAGACGATATACCATAGCACCCTGTACGTATTTTTCTGTTTCGACGGTTCGATAAGCCACACCGGTGATATTTGGTCTATTGAACGTAGTGTTTCATGATCTAAAAAAAAAGTAAAAAAAAAAAAGACCAGACACAAGTGGGAAAAAATCATATATATAAAATATAAAATATAAAATATGTATATACATTTTTATTGCATATATTTAAATATTGCCGTAAAAAAATATATTATTTAAATATTACTGTAATATGATATAAAGTACAGCTGAGGCAGGTTTTGGGGAGAAGTAGCGTTATAAGAGACGCTGCCGCAAAGTGCCTTCACTTCGTTATATCGTATGTTTATCGTGACCCAAGAGCGGCAGGACTTGTCACATATTCCCGTTGCAGCACACACGAGACCTTAAACTGTTGCCTAGTTTTCGCGTTTCTAGGTCGCTTCCGGCACGAAGCGAGATAGGAATAGGATATTGATTGCTGTCGTAAATATGTGAAACTGAAATATTAATGATCAGAGTTGCGGGATAAGCTACGTCTTATCTCGTTTATCTTCGACCTTTCATTTCTGAGCGTCGTCACCATCGTTTCATTATACGGCGCATTGATTCTTACCCCTGTATATATGATCTTTACACTCGACGTATACACACGATCTCCACTCGGTAGTACTCGGTACTCACGTACTCGAGTCGTAGGGGAGGACGGATAAAGGAATGCAGATTGGAGAGACACGGATTAACGAGGATTAACGCTAATTGTGCGGTCGACGACGACGACGACTTCACGTTCTTGACGTTCTCGCAATGGCAGTTCACCGGGAGTGAATACGAGTTAGGATAACTCTATGGGAGATTCTCGTTTTCCTCGACGACAGTTTGATCTCGAGAAACCAGTCGAGAGGATTTTCGATGCGACGCGAAATTGGAGGTTGACACTTTTTCTCAAGTCAAGAGCCATCGCTATTATTCAAATTGTCTCATCAAAGTCGGCGCCGACACGGAAGCTCTCGCATCGTTACGCGTGATCAATTCAGGGCGTCAGATTTAATCAAAGCTCGTTCTTACGAGGCCTGGATTATGATGCGCGATCGATTGACTTTTGCGGAGACGTTCGAAGCGACTAAAGTGCTTGGACTGGGAGGGCTAATTTTCGCAATTTAACGAACGACGATGTATGATAACGAATTTTTTGACAGAGTGCTTTAACGAAATTCTACATTCTCTTTTCGTTTTCTCGCCGGTTTCGGCGACGGCAGCGATGGGTCATTATGTGCTTTTATTCCGCGATTATTTTTACGCAGAGAAAGAGGGAGAACACCGCATACATGGAGGTAGCGTCGCGGACGCAATAAAGCGCATTATGCGCCACTCGCCAGGATATCTCTCCGCGCGTTGAATGCACTCGCATTCTTTCGGTATCTTCCTCGATAAAAAGAAAACCGCACCCTCGCTCTTCAGTTTGCAAAAGTTGGACCATTACATGAGGGAGGAACGAACACAAAAAGCCAGCGATGGCTGATTACAAAGAAGCCATTATCGAAATTGAAGAAAAATGAAAAGAGCGACGCAAAGTTTTCGATACGGGGTAGCGGTCTCAAAAATTTACGCCCGCTTGTACAGGAAGTATGTGTACACTGTTGAGTGATTGCAACTGATTGCACACGAAGAATGGACCGTTCGACAATTGTTATAAAACCACAATTTTTAAAGGTGTTATATCACCGAAAAAAACGTATTGTACACGACGTTGCGAGATACGACGCGTCTATTTGAATGACGTAATTCACATAACAGAGAATAACGTAGCTCGCATAACAGAGAAAAAAAAAAAGAAGAAAGAGAAAAAAAACGTGTCTGCTCACTACAGCGAAAATATAAACGTTTCTACGAAAAGCTCGCTTATATATATTTATATTTTTTATAATATAATTTTTAAAATATAATATTCTTATAATATAATTTATTGATGTGACATCAATTTTACAATGAAATAATGAAATTATCTTGATTGACCATATAATAATTGGCCAGAAAATTGTTAATGAGATACTGATCAGCAATATAGCTAAGTAAGTAATTTCTGGCCATAATTAATAAGAAATTAGCCACGTGAAATTAGTAAATTCTAGTTAGTAAATTCTAACTAGTAAGTAGAATATGATATAATAATAATGTAATAGTGTAACAATATTAATTGCGAGCATTTTAGCATTTGCTTTTACATCGATAAAGATTTCTTTTTTCTTTTAAGTGTATTCAAAGTTGTTTCAAATAAATTTTACAAAACGTTATGTGTAAAGATAAATGATAAGTAATATTTGATAAATCCATGAATTAATAAAAAAAAGAATCAAATTAAAAATTTAGAAAATATTAGAGAATAATTATCGCGCGCGAAGTTCGCGTTCGATAGTATTCTAGTAATAAAAGTTAGAATTTTACAATAATTTTCATTTCAATAACTTTCATTATAATTTTCATTATAATTTTCATCGTATCGTGTTATGAAAATCGCATGATATATTTCATCGAATCTCTCGAATTTCTTCTAATATTTTTGAATGCGTACATTCTCTCTCTTTTGATAGTTTCGGAGACATCCGGACATCCGTACCCTTTTCTTCGAGCACGTACGATTCGACAGAAACACAAACGATCGTGGCGGTTCGATCCTAACGCTCATTGGGGTCGATGCAGCTGTACGCAAATGTACTCAAAGCGACAGATCCGACAGCTGGAAACGAAGCGCGCAGTTGGCACGGATCGATTTGATCGAGCGACTTTGACTCAGCCAGCTCGGGGCAGCGAGCCGGATGATGCTGAATAAAATGGAT